ACATGGACTTCACTTCGTTTCATTACACTCCTATTGTGATTTACTTTTTCATTTTCTTCAGTCCCTCTTGCTTCACCACGACCAAGACTTGCCGCAAGTGTTGTATCAAAACAGATTTACGAAAGAGCGAGGAACTCAGATGAGATCAAGGTTTACTTCAAAAGGATCAAGCTTGACTCCCATGGGATCGAGGTTGACTTTGGCGAGACCGATGTCGAGTCAGATAAGAGATTGCGCCCGGTGGTTCGCTGGCCCGGCGCTCTTCTGATACAGCTTAACGCCGCCGCTTGTTTTTGTATTTACATGATATTGACGTCCGAAAGCCCCAACTTCGTCTGGATATCTCTCTTGAAATCATTAATTTATTTTTAAATTAGAGGACGTGAAAACGACTTACGACTGACCCTCGTCATGGTCAGCATCATCACGTACATAAGGGATAATTAAGCGAAAATATTTATTGGCTCGCGATTGCTAAAGGAACTTCCGTGTTCATTTCGAGGCGAGCCCATCGTCTTGTGTCGCGGTGTCCCTCCACATAACATCTTTGAACTCGCTCTTATATCCGTATGAGTTCCACCACGCCATCAAACGGGTGAAATCTCCACCTCCCTGTTCTTCTTCGCCTCGTTTGATTATCGTGTTGGTCGTAGGATTCAGAAACCTCTTCTCTTGGTATTCTTTGACGGTCACGTTGGTTAGACGCACGAATTGTCCTTCGACATTATCTAACTTGTGAACGTTAGATGAATGTTAAATTGATGATTCGGTGTGAATCATCGACGAGCAGAACATTTCTCTTTTCCCTCACTCCTCCGTCGCGACAAACGAACTTCATGATGTCTCCTATCTCGAAAACGATCGCGTTTACATTCACGGAGCTGTTCAATGGGATTGTAGCGATCGTTTTTATCGACGCTGCACAGATCGGTTATCAGCTGAAGCGCACGCGGCATATCTTCGCTAAGATCTTCAGCAGAATCATTTTCCAGCCACACAAGAATATGGGCATGAGGGCTCCCCCTATTCTGGAATTCGATCCCTACGAAATAATCTAGAACTCGATGTCTCCCGAATGGATTGTATGATTGCTTGGTGCCTAATATTGCCATCACAACTCGGAGTAATTTGTGAAAGTAAATATAGCAGGTGACGGGGTCTTCCGCGACCAAGTGAGCTCGTTTGTATCCATCA